GCAGATGCCTCCGGTGTGGCTGGCACCCGAAGTGGAGGAGTCCTACCGGGGACCAGACCCTGAAACCTGGAGCCTGACGTTAACCCTGGTGTTCAGGGTCAGAACTGAATTGCAGTATATCCGCTGGGATTAAAACATAACAGATTTGTAAAGTGATTCTATAATTTATACTGTAACACTATAAGCCTAGGTAAAAGCAACAAAAAAAAACTTAACATACAAATAAACTATTAAAACTGTATCTGAATGCTCAAATCAGATGATAAAAATAATCAAACCTCCTTTCAACCCTTGTGACAAAAAATAATCTTGACTCCTTATTATGGGATCCATCTCAAAGTAAAAGGCACATGCTACAAATTGCCACAAATAAAACCTCACATTATAATTAATCAAATCTGCAGAGTTTGGAATAATTTTAATAACCATGCATCTACAAGTAGGTTTTAAGAAACTTGATCATAAATCTTATCTTATAAAAGCAGATGATGAAAAGGACATTATGAATTCAATAAAAAAAAGTATCCACAATACCAAAGAATCAATCTTGGTTTTAAAAGCCTACCTAGTATCATTATGTGATTTTACTTCCACGTATAATTAAATGAGTGACATTTATACAACAAATTGCAAGTAATGACAAAATAAGAATTCTTTACCTTGCCATGCCATTTACTAATACCACAAACTCAGTTGTCACCACAAGAGGAACTGTCTGAGTCAGTGTTGAGTGCATTGATTTATGTTCCATTTGATCAACTCAGTGGCAAAAGTCAAGCAATTTTAAAACGTAAACCATGATAAGATCTACTAGTGTAAGCAACAGCACAGGTTGACCAACAACCTTGATCTCTTTTCTGTTAAAGGAAGACTACTTCCTCCAAATGAATATTTGGTAAGTAACTATTAGGAGTAATGAAATTTACAAGAATGACTCTTCTGAGGGAGCTCAGAGTCTACTGAGGAACAATAAACATATACGCGTGACAATTTATACACACACACACACACACACACACACGTATATGTGACCACCATCTGCTGATGGCTACAATGCATCAGACGTATACTGGGTGTATTTACATACATTCATTCATTTAATTCTCAGGCTGAAAAGTTGGGTGGAGGAGGGGAATTGCCTAGAGAACAATGATTTTCAACAAACTTCATTAAAATTTTTAAAAATGTATTTTAAAATTGACATAATTATTCATATTTATGGGGTCAGTGTGATATTTCCATATACTATGTAATGATCAAATCAGGGTAATTAGCATATCCATCACTTTAAACTTTTATTTCTTTGTGCCAGTAATATTCATATTTCTCTCTTCCAGTCATTTGGAAAAAAACACAATAAATTATTGTCTACTATAGTTACCTACAGTTCCATAGATTATTGACACTAGAATTTATTCCCATCTAGCTATAATTTTGCATCCATTAACCAACCTCTTGCTATCCACCAGCACTTCTCCTGAGTCTTTCCCAGCTTCTAGTAACCACTGTTCTATTCTCTATTTCTATGAGGTCAGCTTTTAAAAAAAACTTCACATTTAAGTAGTGAAACTCCTTTACCTAGGCAAATCAGAGAATCAAAGTGCAAAAGTTCAAGCACTTTATTCTGAATCAACTAAACAGCTATAGCAGCAAATAGAAAGAACGAAAAACCAGGTTCCCTGTGTTTCTGAATTGTTCCTAAAGTTAATCTATATGCTCTTTCTCAAGAAATAGGGAACATTTAGGAACACACTTTCTATAGCAGTTATTTTTCCCAAACATTTGCTCTGCTTTGACGTAACGGCCTAGTCTTCTACTACAAAAGCTATATGCAGTGTGGAAAAACATTTTTCTCATGTAATTGTGGGTAACTTAGTATTTTCAGAAATAATATCCAAGATACAATTTTCAGTTGAATAACTTGAAAGGTATCATCACCCATATCGCATCCCAAAGCAGAAAGCTCAGCATCTTCACTCTCAGTTCCATCCAACCAGACACCAAACCCTGCCAATTTTATCCCTGAAATAGCCTCTGCATATGTCATCAACACTCTAAAGTTCATTAATTTAATCTGCTTCCTCAAAAAAAGAGAAAGAGTTGTATCTTTGATTCTAACTGTAAGCACTATGTATGGTACAGAGATTCACACAATCAAAAATTTTTACTTTTCAACGTCAGCCAAAAGCTGCCGGTTTCTCTTCTGTTTTATAAAATATCAGACACACTGATCATCAAAAATTTGTAGTAAATTCATAAAGAAACTACAGATTACTTAAGATGATGGGTGTGGTAGACTATTTACTAAATGTCTCAATTATTATCCTCTCTGTATCATTGACGCCCCTTGACAAAGTGATTTTGCTGCTCCTACTGTCCAGAGGCGAAGTCTGCTGGCTTTGAGACTTAACAGAATGCAAATGGAAGTGGCACTGGGCCACTTCTAAGCCTAAGCTTCAAGAGGGCTCGAATGCTTCAGTCTCTCTCAGAATTCCACGAACAAGTCAGGCTATCCAGGCCATTCCACGAACAAGTCAGGCTATCCTGCTGGAGGATGGCAGACCGACCACATGGAGTCAAGACAAGTCGTCCTGCCATGGCCATCTGAGGCCTACCATCTCCCACCTGACATGCAGCCACCACAGACACTGCTATAGTTTTCACTGTGGTTCTTTGTCCCAAACATCCGCTGTGCTTTGACCTAATTATCCAGTCTCTGTCAGAAGTTATATGCAGTGTGAAGAATTCGCCAACTAAGCAACTTGAATTACTTTAAATTACTCCTGAGTCTCCTTCTACGATATGCTCTAATGAGAAATACATATACATTTTTTATTAGATTATGTCAATAATTTTCTGAATTTCCTGTTGACATACACCCAATGGAATGGCATTCAAAAATTAATAAACGCCAATTGATTTCCATTGTTTGAGGGAAGGCAAATCCACATTAATAAAATTCTGAATTTGAGTCTATTAAAAAATTATTAATTTCAAGTATATACAGTGAATTTAATTATTAGTGTTAAAAATACATATCCAGTTGGGCCTGTACTTACTCATATATGAGATTCATTTGTGCTAGAAACAGTTAATATCAGTTAAAACTGTCTTCCACAATCTTCTTTCATTTACCAAGTATGGAAGTATCAAGTTTTCAGTATATACTATGTGCCAAGCTCTTTTCAAAATGCTGTAAACATAGTGGAGAACAAGAAAGTTCATATGTCTATGGTCTAGTTTATATTTCAGTAGATCTTCCTTAAAACCACTAAATTTCTAAGCAAAACTTTTATTTTTTTTGAGTTGGAGTCTTACCATCACCCAGGCTGGAGTGCAGTGGCACGCTCATGGCCATCCCAACATCGAACTGCTGGGCTCTGGCAATCCGTCCACCTCAACCTCCCAAGTATCCAGAACTACAGATACGTGCTCCCACACCTGGCTAATTTTTTGATTTATTGTAGAGATGAGGTCTCACCAAGGTGCCTGGGCTGATCTCAAACCCATGGGATCAGGCAATCTGCTCAACTCGGCCTCCCAAGTGCTGGGATTACAGGCTGAGACAGCGAGTACCTTTTGAAATTTCAACTATTTAATACATTTTAAAAAGTTTAAAGGTTGCATTAGAATTTTAAGGTTAGGCGGGCTCGGTGGCTCAGCCTGTAATCCCAGCAACTTTGGGAGGCCAAGGTGAGTGGATTGCCTGAACCTGCGGGTTCGAGACCAGCCCGGGCAACTTGGCGAGACCTCGTCTCTACAATAAATTTTTTTTTAAAAATTAGCTGGGCATGGTGGCGCATGCCTGTAGTTCCAGCTACTTGGAAGGCTGAGGCGGAAGGATCACCAGAGCCCACTAGGTCAACACTGGGGTGACCGTGAACCTGCCACTTCACTTCTCCAGTCTGGGTGATGGAGTGAGACTCTGACAATAATAATAATAATAATAATAATAATAATTTTAAGGTTAAAATATCTGATATTTTCTTCCATATAAGCATATGAAAGTAAGCAATAATTAGCATTAAGAAAAAAGCCCCCTGAAATTATTTCTCAATTACCATGATACATAACACTTAATTATCCCAAAAGCATATTTCATCTATAAATGATGTAGAACCAACATATATCAAAGATAATGTAATTAAGTCACGCTAATGTGTCTATTGCTCAGAATAACCAGAAGATTGTCTAGTAAGTAAAAATAGATTTCTTTTTCAAGTGTTTAGGTATTCAAATCTTCAAAAGTTTTAGAATGTCCTCCAAAACTTCCTTAATTTTTTTTTTTTTTTTTTGAGTTGGAGTCTCGCTCTGCCACCCAGACTGGAGTGCAGTGGCCACTCCCTGCTGGGCTCCAGCAATCCTTCCGCCTCAGCCTTCCAAGTAGTTGGAACTACAGGTGCGCGCTACCACACCCGGCTAATTTTTTGATTTATTGTAGAGATGAAGTCTCGCCAAGTTGCCCAGGCGGGTCTCGAACCCACGGGCTCAGGCAATTCACTCACCTCAGCCTCCCAAGGCACGGGATTACAGGCTGAGCCACCAAGCCCGGATTCTTATCTATAAGTCACTTAATTTTAAACATTCATCGTTTTCCTAGCTTCCGTTGCTTCAGACCTAGCCTACATGAAAGGAAACGACTACTTTAAAGTGGGTTTCAATTTGAGGGTTCCCAAGAGTAAACACACAAAGACACTTTCTTGTAGCTCGGGAAGTTCATTAGCATCACAGCCGAGACGCTATTGGTACCGAGAGGAGCTCTCAAGTATTAAAACAATTCACTAAAGTGAATGGGGGATAAACAGACAGAGAGACAAACCAACCCCCAGTTCTGTTAGTAGTGTTTGAAAGGACTGGGACGGGGGAGGGACAGACGTGGCGTCATTCAGTGTGCTTGCAAGGGTTCAGTTCTTTAAGGAGTGGATGTAAGGTAACTGTTCCATTCTTCTGTATTTCTATACCCCTGAAATGTTTAGTGATTTAAAAAAAAAATGACTCACCGATCAATTACAATTTCTTTCTGCCTTAGAAGTCCTTCTTTTATTTTCAGCATTGATTCCCACTTACTGAAATCCTGATAGCCAGAAGGTGAATAACTTTGTCGAGATGATCCAGTCAAAACCTGCACAAACACGTTTACACTATTAGTATAACTAAAAGTATCTAAAGGGAATATTTATGTGCCATCTAACATTTTCCCAATGATTTTCATTAAAAAAAATAGGGAACTCTTTGATTTTTTTTTTTTAAAGTCAGGGTCTCACTCGGTTTCCCAGACTAGAGTGCAGTAGCATGATCACAGCTCACCACAGCCTTATCCTCCTGGGTTCAGGCAATCTTTCTGCCTCAGTCTCCTGAATAGTGGAACACAGGGGTAAGCCACCATGCCCAGCTAATTTTTTGATATTTTTTTGGTAGAGATAAGGTCTTGCTATATGCCTAAGCTGTTCTCAAACTCCCCTCTCACCTCAGTCTAAGATTAAAGGTGTGAGCCACGGCACCTGGCCCTCTCTGATTTTTTTAAGACTATCTGAAATCACACTGGTGAATATGACAAAACTTGAAGAACTTCAAGAAAGCTCCAAAGGAAATGTAGAAGTCAAAGCAAGTATTGATGACTAAAGGAAGTTTATCCTGGCTAATCATAAGGTTATATATACATATGTATGTATATCTATCAATCTATGATCTTATCCCCATTGCCTTGTGGAAGTGGAAGTTTTCTGGAAACAAGAGATCAATCATTGCCGTAGGAAGGAGCACATTAAAGGAATGTGTCATGGCTTACCTAGAAAAACATTAGCAGGAGAGTTTCCACAAGAAAATAACAGCAATATCTGTAGTATTCAGACTTCAAATTGTCATGCATCATAATTACATTAAAATTTCAAAATCACAAATATTTTCACAAAGTAGTAAATACATCCCTAGAAAATATGACTATTAAGTAGATAATGTGGATGACTACTGGTTTCTAGTGTGAACTGTATTTTTTTTTAATCTGCTTAGAATTTAAGACCATTTCAGGTATTTAAAATAAATCAACAATAAAAACCAATATGTCAGATGTTCTCAAATTTCTACCACTGAAACTACAGCAAACTTTTTTTTTTTTGAGTTGGAACCACATTCTCCCCAAGGTTGGAATGTGTAGCAGCATAATCACAGCTCACTGTATCCTTGACCCCCAGGCACAGGCAATCCTCCTACCTCAGCCTTCCAAGTAGCGAGGCCCACAGGTGCACATCACCATGCCTAGCTGATTTTTCTATAGTGATGAGGTCTGGCTTTGTTGCCTATGCTGGTCTTGAACTCCTGGGCTCAAGCAATCCTCCTGCCTTGCCTTCCCCAAGTGCTGGGATTGTAGGCAGGAGCCACTGCACCTGGCCAACAACAAACCTTTCTAAAATATTGAAGTTGTGGTTTAAACTGCGTCCCCTCAAAAAGACGCTCTAAGCCTAGGACCTCAGAAAGCAGTCTTACCTAAAAATAGGGTATTTGCAGATGGAGCCAGTTAAGAGGAGGTCCTTAGGTGAACCCTAATCCAACATGACTGGGGTCCCTACAGAAAGGGGAAAATCTGGGCCCACTCACATAGCAAAGGCCATATAAAGAGACACAAAAACAGTGCCATGTGAATAGGAAAGCCAAAGTTGTCAGTAGAACACCAAATGCTAAGAGAGAAGCATGGGACAGAGTCTCCTTCATAGCCCTCAGAAGGAACCAGCTCTGCCAACACCCTGACTTCCAACTTCCAGAACTATGAGACAATCAGTTTCTGTCATTTAAGCTACCCTGTTTGCGGTATTTTGTTATGGCAGCTCTAGAAACCTAATACAACTGGCAAATAAAACAAAAACATAGTTCCTTGGCAAGCTAAAAGAATCTATATCAACATTACAAAGTTGCTCTGGAGAATTCAAGTGTGCGGTACTATTTTTATCCTTTATTTTCCAAACATGTTACTAACTAGGCCTACTTCTACGTAAACCACTAATTGCATGACATCAACCAGTCCTCGATTAACTCTTTAAATTAAGATGATTTCCAAGCAATATTGGATTGAATGTTTCACATAGGAGACAGACAAGATGGGATGGACAGACTAAGTGTAAGGTCCGCTGATAACAGGATACATACTTTGTCAGATGAGGAGATATTTTGAGTGGAAGTGACACATGGTGTTATGGAGCAGATGAGTCAGAGATCCTGCCTCTGAATTTCATTCTTTCCCTTGTCTAATATTCAAGGGTTGATATTCAACCAGCGGATGTGTTAGTTAGTTGTCAGAATACTGAAGTGCTTTTTATCACTATAGTTGGTACCAATGGCTGACCAAACCCCCTGCCTGTCCCTCCCACTGAACTCTGCTCCATCTTAGAACTCTGCTCCATCCATAAACGTGCATCCCTTCTGACTGGTGAGTTCTTGCAAATCTTGCCCCCACAAATCCTCCCAACCAAAATCAACCCAGCTATATTTAGTTCAAACCCAGACATCCCCACAAAGGAACACCTACTCTTAAGCACTACCATATTACACTACTTCTACTATGGCCTAATTAACTTTGGTATTCCAAACATCTTCTCATCACAAGGGCTGGAAATTTTTTTTGATAGAAAGGATTCAGCACTATAAACAATATCGCTGATAGTAAAAGAAATCCTCTGCTTACTGAAACTCCATATTACCAATGACTATCAATTTATGGGTAAGTCATTTTATGACATTTATTTTGTCAAACTGTGGTTCAAACTGGAATTCATTAAAGCTGAGTGAAAGTTAAGCAAAACAAAAGAGCATATCAGCAATTCTAAAACTCAATACAAGATTTGGAAACACTTTAAATGATGTGGTGAACCATCTGTGCTATAATTTGTAATATTTTATTTATTTAGAGACTAATAATGAATATGTATTTTGTTTATGTGCTGAGTGATATATTAATTTATATCCTATTACTAGTTGGCATATATTTAAGCATTGGCTTTCATATGTTATCATACCTAAACAAAGCACTTGTAAGGTAGCTTAAGGATTGATGATCTCCTCTTCCAAAAATCTAAAAAACAGTTTCTCCATTTCTAACTACCACACTCCAGCAATGAGCAACACAATATCATTTGAAGCTATGTTTTACCTTATACATTCTATGCCTATTTCAGTAAGACAAGACCCTAGGCAACAGATGATATCATCTGCTAAAATATTTCCCCACAGCTGACAATTCCCTTTAGGAGAAGCCTTTTCTTTCTTTTGTTCTTTAAAATACTTTTTGGCATCGAGAAAAAGAGAGAGTAAGCAGAGGGCAAATTATGCAAGACAAAGGTGACTTATAACACAACTTGCTTTTATAGCATTTGAACCACTGGTAGGATGGACTGCTGAAGTGCTGGCCAAATGCTTTCAGAATATACATAACCCAAAACATGAGAACTTATTCTTCTGAGGTGCAATTCCTTTGATATAAACTCTTTATAAATAAATTTAAAAATTGAGCTGTGAAACTAGGAAAACAGGTTTAAAGAAAAAGGATGTCCGTCCCTGTAATTAAGAAGATACAACTTACAAAGAATTACCAAATCCGTAGCAGTCTTCCTTATTAAACTTGAACCCTGATTCATAAAAATAGTTAGAAGAAAGAAGAACAAAACCTGACACACAGCCAAATGCAACAGGTTTACTTAAAGTAATTTTTAAACCCATATATATATACCTATCCATCTCTAAAAACTGACAGTTATGGAAACATTTCACCTTCTAAGGAGAATGGCTTTAATGATGAGGCCATCAGTCTATACTGTAAGTGAAATTATAGAATGCAATTTAAAGCTCCTAGCAAAATTAATAAAGAAACAATCATATTGTAAAGGCTTAAGCAGCAAGGCAACTATTGTACCTTTATAATTTTGCACTCAAAGTAAACAACTGCTATACTACTACAGGTATGTAGAAAGGAACACTTGATGAAAAATGTATTTTCATTATAATTTACAGCAGTTCAGGCTCCAGTCTTGACAGGGCAAAATAGAAAAAACACAGAGTCATTTTGCACTAAATGTGGAAGACATCAGGTATCAACCCTGGAACTATTTATCTTTTGAAAGTTCTAACATAAGATATAAAGAGTAGAAGGGAATTACACGTGTTCACATTGGTTCTTCCTCGCACTTGCACATTACAATCTAACAGACAGGTTATTCATCAAAAACTACCAGTTTAATGGGTCAGCAAATGTTAAAGGTTTCCTCCCTTTTATTTATAAAACAAAAATTGTCTTTTAATTAGACATTTAGCACCAAAACTTATAAAATCTTACTAGTATCAGTTATCTGTTAAGTTCCAGGTATTATGTCGAAAGCAGGGGGAGGGAAGGTCTTTTCCCTTCGATAATGATGCAATAGCAATCTAGAGTAGACATAAATACACACTTTAAAGTCCTAGACAGAACTGTTAGCTTTGGCACATTAATATATGTATCCGGAAAAAGAAGGTAGCCAAGTGCAAATACCTTAAAACCATCACACTAAAAGTTACTGAAAATAAAGTCCAATATAAAAATTAATGTTTTATTTTGTATTATTGTAGATCAGTAGCTACTGTTGCTTGCAAACCATGTTCTTGCCAATACTGGCTAACATGAAAAACGGATACAGGAATAGCAAGTATCACTCCTGGATAGAATAAAATCTAGGCCAAACAATCCTTAAATGAAAATATAGTTTTATATAGGTAAAAGGTAAAATGTACCAAGATAAAATAAACACAATTAACAATCATACATTTAACAGTATAGCTCATATGAAAAAAAACTAGTAAGAATAAATGAAGAAATAAACAAATCTACAATCATAGTGCTGACTTTAGTACATCTCTGAAGTAGATTAAGAAAAGCAGGACTGGCATGTTCAGCTCACTTAATTTTCATGGCCTGCAAACTAAAAATAAATTTAATATTTTTAAATGATTGCAAAAAATATTTTGTGATACCTAAAAATAATACAAGATTAAATAAACATTCAGTGTATTTAAAGTTTTACTGGAACATATACATGCTCCTTTTTTTTTTTGAATTGGAGTCTGACTCATTCACCCAGGCTGGGGTGCAGTAGCACGCACGCT